CAGTTTGTAGTCCAAGGTCGATCTTTTGGTGGTGTTAATCAGCTTAATGGCTTTATCATAGTCCATGTGAAATCATTGTGAGATCCAGTCACCTTTTTGAAGATTTCAAAGTCGCTGTTAAGTGTGATCATGGTTCCCTGCAGAATTATTTTTTGTGTGTGTGCATGTGTGTCTCCTCTATGGTTTGGAGCAATCACAGTCTGATAAATGTCTGTCTCTCAGAACCATGAACATTCTCCCCTAGAAGAGAAAATCTTCACAGCAATTTCTCCCCACCATTTGTCTTGCCAAACTTTTCCAAACTGACCTCTGCCAAAGCTTTCTTGAAACAGGATGGTTCTGGCAATTGTTCTCTGAACAAGCAGCAGTAAACCCTTCATCCCAGGTAGCAGCATCACCACAGTCACCAACATGATGAGAAGTAGCCAGCAACTCAGAGCCTCAGCAACCACTGCCTCCATGGTCCCACTGCCACCGTTTGTGGCTGGCCAAAGCTTCTCCTTAGCAAGCCTCCTAGGCTGGCCACAAACTCAGAATACTCCTGCCTCTGCCTCCTTCACTAAATCCTGTGGGTGTGTGTCATCACAACCGGCAACGTGTAGCTTGGGTCTGAGCTGGGGCCAGCAAGGCCACAGGCAAGCGGTTTTTTCATGAATTCGTACCACAAACATTGGGCACCAGATGTAGCACAAATTATTAGAAGATATTATCAATAAAAAAAAGTGGAGCCAAGTATTGGGGTGAATGCTGGAAGGTCCGAGAAGCAGAACAAGCCACAGTCACTTCACCTTGCCAATTCTTCAGCTGATCCTGTTTCCTCAGACTGGAAGCCTCTGAGTCCTCATCCAGAATGAATCTCAGCTGAACTGCTCCTCAAAAGTCTGAAGCTTGGTAGACTCAGTCCAGGTAGGTCTAGTCCCCTCCTCCCAGGCCGAGCCAAACAATCCTGCATAGGCCCCAGGTTTCAAACAGCCAACTCATGCAATGAGCACAAGACCTGGTCCCACTGCCTGGATGCCTCCCAAACAGATCAAGCCAATCAACTGTCTCACCCATTCGGAGGGCCTGATCCAGTGGGGACCCCTCAGCCATTGGTTCATAGTTCATGTGTTTCCATTCATTTGGCTATTTGTCCCTGTGCTTTATCCAACCTTGGTCTCAACAATTCTCGCTCATATAAACCCTCCTCATTCTCGTTAATTGGACTCCCAGAGATCCACCCAGGGCCTAGTCATGGATCTCTGCATCCAGATCCCTCAGTAGTTGGATGAGGTTTCTAGCAGATGTAGCACAAATTATTAGAAGATATTATCAATAAAAAAAAAACATGGAGCCAAGTATTGGGGTGAATGCTGGAAGGTCTGAGAAGCAGAACAAGCCACAGTAACTTCACCTGCTTTATCCTCAGTGATGCCTGTTCATTCTAAGTTAGGTTTCCAGCCTCCTTCTTCAAGCCATGCTCACAGCTCACTGCTTCTTCTGCTCCTGATGACATTTAGGTTAAAGCCTCTTAGTGAAGCCAATGTCCCTTGTTATATTTTGCTAATCCTAAGTGTCACAGGGTGACACAAGAGCAGGTGTCCTTTGAGCACCAAGTCAAGCTTCTCTGAGCTGATTTGCATATTGAGACTTTAGCCACAGTGCAGAATGCTCAAATATCTCGAAAGGCAGCTTGCCAGTGCCCAAGAAGCAGCCTCTCCTCCAGCTCTCAGAGATGGGGTCAACTGCTCTCCTGTTGTGGGTACTGCTGCTCTGGGTTCCACGTGAGAGGATACAGTGTTGGGAACATCCCTTGTAGCCCTTGTCATTTGATCCAGGACACATTCCTTTTTCTCAATATTATTAAATCCAATTATTTTCCCTTGCCTAGAAGTATCCCAATGCAAAATATGTTGTTGTTATGAGACATAAAAATTAGTGTAGGCTAGAGAGATGGATCAGTGGATAAGAGCCCATCTTGATCTTGCTGTGAACATAGGCTTAATTCCCAGCATCCATATGGCAGTTCACAGCTATCTACCACAGTAGTTCCAAATGACCCAATGCCCTCTTCTGGAATCCAAAGGCAACCGGATTGTGGTACTTGTAGAGAAAACACTTCCAAACAGAATAAATATAAATACATCCTTTTTAAAAGTTTAATTCTGAGGGATCACAGGGCTTCTGCAACTCACATTCTTTACATCAGAGCAGTGACAGTAAACTCCTCACATGGGACTTCAAAATAACAGAAAGTGACAATTCCGAAAGGCCAGCCAAAAAGTCACCTGGGATACCCCACTTAGAACACTCTAGGGAATCCTTTGCTAACTCTAACTCTCACAGGGTGACACAAGAGCAGGTGTCCTCTGAGCACCAAGTCAACCTTTTCTGAGCTGATTTGCATATTGAGACTTTAGCCACAGTGCAGAATGCTCAAATATCTCGAAAGGCAGCTTGCCAGTGCCCAAGAAGCAGCCTCTAGTCCAGGTCTCAGAGATGGGGTCAGCTGCTCTCTTGGTGTGGGTACTGCTGCTCTGGGTTCCAGGTGAGAGGATACAGTGTTGGGAACATCCCTTGTAACCTTTGTTGTTTTCAATGCATTGATGTCCTGACCATTGAAATTTATGGCATTTAATTAGTGTTAAGTTTCCCTTTTATTTTATGGCTTCTCAGAGTGTAGCTCATGAGTGCTGTTACAGATTCCACACACATGATGATTTTACAGTGGGGTGCTTTTAGTATATCTGACAGCCAGGTGTGTTTATTATTTGTGACTCCACTGGCAACATAGTGCTGACCCAGTCTCCAGCTTCGATGCCTGTGTCTCTAGGGCTGAGGGCCACCATCTCTTGCAGGGCCAGCAAGAGTGTCACTTCATCTGCCAATAGTTATATGCACTGGTACCAACAGAAATAAGGACATCCCTCAAACTCCTCATCTATGGAGCATTCAACCTAGCATCTGTTGTCCCTGCCAGGTTCAGTGGCAGTAGGTCTCTGACAGACTTCACCCTCACCATCCAACCGGTGGAGGCTGATGATGTTGCAACCTATCACTGTCAGCAGAGTAAGGAGTTTCCTCCCACAGTGCTCCAGGGCTAAACAAAAACTTCCTGGAGTTGCTGCTGACTGTCGGGCTTTTATATTATACAAACAAAATATAACATGGAATTTTGTCCTTTTAATCTCCATGATCCCTTCTTACACACTATGGGAAGCACATGATTAACTACCAGAGACTTTGGATTTATAAGACCCCGGTCTCCATGCGTCCAATGTGAATGAGCAGCAGTAAATGACGTGAAGCACAATCTGAGCTCACTGTAGCTGTCACAAAGCAAAGTACAAAGTTTAGCAAATGTTGAGAGCACACGACAACTTGTTAGACAGTGACTGAGGCAGTTACTTGTCTGTGATATTCTTGACCTTGAGATTGGGAACTTTCTCAACCTACACACTGTTTGTCTCTCTCTTATGATGGTGTGTTAGCAGTTTACATGGAAGATCTAAAAATGCTCATCAGAAGTAATTTAACATTTTGTACAGGAAAAGTAGATGTATGAAATGATGTAAATAATGCAAAATAAAAGGGAAGTGCATGCTACTTAAATGCCTATTTAATTTTCAATAATATTCTTGTCTTAATGCTAAAACGTTAACCTCAGATAACTATTTTCCTTTGCATATCAAATGCCATGAGCTGCTTTGTAAGGAGTTGATTAAAAATATATAATTTTGAGAAATTGTTTCCATGCATAGATTAGACCGGCCAAGAACTTGCTATGTGTTCATACACCTCATGCTCCTGCTTTCTCTCCCCATTTCTGGGATTACAGATGTGAATCTTGACTTTTTGTCACAATAATTAATTAATTAATTAATTTTTCTATTTCTTATCCCTCATACATAACACTAAGTTTATAATATACTTCTTATATATACTTTCAGAGTCCACTAACCTGAAGTCCAGGCAGGTTCTGTGATTTTTGTTATTCCTATTGGTTTTCATTCATGTGCAAACATTTTTTCTCCTTTGGATAGGAACAATCTCTGATGTTGAGGTCTATAGGTTTCTGTAAAATTGTTACTTGATTTACGATAGTGGAGTTCCCTTCTGGGAAGGCTTTTTGTCTTCCTATTCCCTCTGTCAGCAAGACCATCTTAACTCAGTTTCAATACTCCTAATTTCTAAATTATCCTAGAGTATGAATTTCTGCAATAAATACTCTTGGCAGTGTTTGTCTTCCATGACTTCTTAGAGAAATCTTGTATTTTTCATTCCCCTCCATTCCCCCAATGGAGAGCCTTCTTTCTGTTTCCTGAAGTTGTAGAGAGGATGTGTGTAAGTTTCTATTGGGTTTACCTTTCTTCAAGATTAAAGTTCCCCTGATCTCAGGTTTAAATTAATGTCCCCAGGATTTCCAAAGAAAGGTTATGGGCTTCTCTTTGCGTAATTGTTCCTTGTTTGGTGCAGAAACCGGAGCCCAAATGTCTGAGGCACTGTTCATTGTGCTTGCTGTAAGAGCAGCTGTGGAGATAGGAGATAATGAAAATAATTAGTATTAATTCTCTCATTTTTTTGGTTTCCCTCTTTTCTCCCTCCCACCCTTTGTTTTCTTATTGCATGTTTTCAAATCTATGTTACCTAATTTATTGTTGTAATTTTTTTGAACAAAACATTTTTTTTAGGACTAGCAATCTGAGGTAGTTCTAATGTTTCTGCAAAAGTCACCTGAAAAAAATGTCTTGGATTTTAAACTACATTTGCCATTTGAGCACCTAGTAGATTTCTATTGGAGAGCTGTAAGCCAATATCTTTCAGTGGTTGCTCGTGCTTCCTATGATGGTATGTTTGCCTGTTAATTGACACCAGCCACCCTCAAACACTGTCCAGACTTTTCCTTATGTATTGGCTGACTACTTTGCATGGGTTGCCCTAGTCCAGCCCAGCTGCTCAGAATTTATAAACCAGGCCTTTACAGTGTGAACTGAGTAGCATCAGACAGCAGGGGGAGCAAGATGGAGTCACAGACCCAGGTTCTCATGTTCCTGCTGCTCTGGGTGTCTGGTGAGAATTTAAAGTATTATAATGGTTTTAGAGTCACTTCTTTGTATATAAGAAATTTACAATGTGTGGTAGAACATAATAGTTCCAACACAATAATGCTCTGACAATATGATATTACAAGAATATTAAATGACAAATTTCAACTGTTACTACATTCTGTGTTTGCATATTATGCATTTTCATTATGTATTCCTGTTGCAGGTGCCTGTGCAGATATCCTGATGACCCAGTCTCCATCTTCCCTGGCTGTGTTAGCAGGAGAGAAGGTCACCATCAACTGCAAGTCCAGTCAGAGTCTTTTATACAGTAAAGACCAGAAGAATTATTTGTCCTGGTACCAGCAGAAACCAGGGCAGTCTCCTAAACGTCTGATCTACTATGCATCCACTCGGGACACTGGGGTCCCTGATCGCTTCACAGGCAGTGGGTCTGGGACAGATTTCACTCTCACCATCAGCAGTGTCCAGGCTGAAGACCTGGCAGATTACTACTGTATGCAGCATTATTACCCTCTTCCCACAGTAATTCAGCCTCCAACAAAAACCTCTGAGAGTCTCAGCAGCTGCCTGCACCACACACAGCCCTGGACCCGCACACTTCCCCTTTCTGCCTGAGAGCTGGTGTGCCTGAAACACTGATGGAGATAGTTTGCAGAGCCCAGCAAAGTATAATGGTTTTAATGTCTCTAATGTCTTTTGGTACAAAAAACCTTTATACGATAATATAACGGAGAACTCAGTATTATCTTTTTATTCCTTCTGTAACACATTAGCACAAACTCTGTGCTTGAATATGAGGGATTTATGTTTTCATAGTTCTGGAATTCTGGTGTCCATCATAAGATTCTATGGGCTGCAACAGTCCAATTAAGAAATGGGCTATAGAGCTAAACAGAGAATTCTCAACAGAGGAAACTCAAATGGCTGAAAGACATTTAAGGAATTGCTCAACATCCCTAATCATCAGGGAAATGCAAATCAAAACAACTCTGAGATTCCACCTTACGCCTGTCAGAATGGCTAAGATCAAAAACATTGAAGACACCTTATGCTGGAGAGGATGTGGAGCTAGGGGAACTCTCCTCCACTGCTGGTGGGAATGCAAGCTTGTACAACCACTTTGGAAATCAATATGATGCTTTCTTAGAAAATTGGGAATCGATCTCCCCTAAGACCCAGCTATACCACTCTTGGGCATATACCCAAGGAATGCTCAACCACACCACAAGAGCATTTGTTCAGCTATGTTCATATCAGCATTATTTGTAATAGCCAGAAAATGGAAACAACCTAGATGCCCTTCAACTGAAGAATGGATAAACAAAATGTGGTACATATACACAATGGAATACTACTCAGCAGAGAAAAACAATGACATCATGAGGTTTGCAGACAAATGGATGGATCTAGAAAAAATCATCCTGAGTGAGGTAATCCAGACTCAGAAAGACAAACATGGTATGTACTCACTCATAGGAGGATACTAGATGTGGAACAAGGATGACTGGACTGCTACTCATATCACCAGGGAGGCTACCTGGAAAACAGTACCCAAAGAAAGACACAGGGATCGCCCAATGACAGAGAAATGGAATGAGACCTACATGAACAGCCTGGACATGAGTGGGGGTAGTGAAGGGTGAGGGTCGAGGGAAAGAGAGCTTGGGGGAGCAGGAGATCCCAGCTGGATCAACAACAGAGAGGGAGAACAAGGAATAGGAGACCATGGTAAATGAAGACCACATGAGAACAGGAAGAAGCAAAGTGCTAGAGAGGCCCACAGAAATCCACAAACATACCCCCACAACAGACTGCTGGCAATGGTCGAGAGACAGCCTGAACTGACCTACTCTGGTGATGGGATGGCCAAACACCCTAGTTGTCGTGCTAGAAACCCCATCCAACTACTGAGGGATCTGGATGCAGAGATCCATGGCTAGGCCTCGGGTGGATTTCTGGGAGTCCAATTAGCGAGAATGAGGAGGGTTTATATGAGCGAGAATTGTTGAGATCAAGGTTGGATAAAGCACAGGGACAAATAGCCAAACGAATGGAAACACATGAACTATGAACCAATGGCTGAGGGGCCCCCAACTGGATCAGGCCCTCTCAATGGGTGAGACAGTTGATTGGCTTGATCTGTTTGGGAGGCATCCAGGCAGTGGGACTGGGTCCTGTGCTCATTGCATGAGTTGGCTGTTTGAAACCTGGGGCCTATGCAGGACCGCTTGGCTCGGCCTGGGAGGAGAGGACTGGACCTACCTGGATTGAGTCTACCAGGTTGATCTCAGTCCTCAGGGGAGGCTTTGCCCTGGAGGAGGTGGGAATAGGGCGTAGGCTGCGGGGAAGGGGAGGGGGGCGGGAGGGGGGAGAACAAGGGAATCCGAGGCTGATATGTAGAACTGAATTGTATTACAAAATAAAAATAAAAAAATTAAATAAAAAAAAAGATTCTATGGGTTGAAGTGATGATGATGACAAACTGTATTTCTGTTGGAGGCTGTGGAAAGAGTGTTTCCTATTTTTTCTAGACTCTGGAGTGTTTTCTTAATTCCTTACTGGAGTCCATTTCTTCTGATTTTTCTTTTCTTTTCCATAAATTCTTTTACTTTTTATTACATTTTAGTTAATTAAGTACCCCTTTCTGTGTCCATGTGAGTGTGCGTTTGTGTGTTTTGTGTATGCATGTGCATGTTTCTGGGTGCATATGTGACATAGCATAATTGTGGAGGTCAGAGGACACTTGGACTTGACTCTTTCTTTGTCATTAGGGTTCCAGGGATCAAAGTCAGGTTTGTCATTAGGCTTGGTGGCAAGTGTATTTGCCATCTGATCCATCTTGCTGCCCCTTAAAATTTTTTATCAATGTAAATTCATTGTGCACAATTTTCTTAGAAGCAATGGTTTTCCAGTATATCATGTATTTTCACCATATGCACTAACCTTCTGCGTTTTCCATTCACTCTCCTGCTGTCTTTTCTTTCCTTAGTCCCTCTTCTACCTTTATCTCTCTGTCTCTCATACATATACACTCATTTATGCCTACATATCCTGCCACACACACACACCCATATACACACTTACGCACACAGGCACACACATATCCACATACATACACATACATGAACAATGCATTCACACATACATACATATACACTCATGCGCTCATACAGAAATACACGTACTGAGGATCTGCAAAGGAAGGAAATTGTGATATTTGTTGCCTTTGTTTCTGGGGCCACATCACCTCTGCATCTGATTTTCATCTGTGAAGCTGAGATCCCTCCTTTCCCTCTAATGGTGGATTTAACTGTGTCAGCAGATGCTCCCTTCCAGTCTTTACAGTTCATATCAATTAGTAGAGTTTCATGTTTTTTGAGGGGAATATTTTGTGTTTCTGTGCAAACCATGTGATAACTAATCATGTCCATATTCTCATTAAAATATATTGAACACTTGTTTTGGAAATAAGGCAGAGAACAACTGTGTTACAGACTATATAAAATTTCAGGAGATCTCCCAATTCCTTAAAGCTAAATGGTTCTTTGAGTGATTTGGGCCAGTGAATGCTTGAGTGGAGGTTGCTAAGTTTAGAAAAGTCTCTAACCAAAAAATGTGCTTAAACCTCTCTGGTGGAAGGCACCCTGTTCTCTACATCACTTTATTTGAAGACTGTTTCTTGGCCTGGGTGCCTGACTTATCTCTAGTATGACCCTTGATACAGTTCCCTGCAGAAGTTTCCTGCCTGTTGCCTATATGGTAAGTAGACATTGTACAAGGAGCTTTTTGACAGGACTGTTCTTCCACAGGTGATAATAAGACTTGTACTAGGAGCTTTATAATAGGATCATGCTGTTTAATGCAAATTATATGATGCCTCAGCCACTGTCCCCATCCTTTACATCTTCCCTCACTCTGGAATAAAGTGAAGCTGCCTCACTGAAGATGCCATCCAGAAGGCCATTTCTATCATTTTCATAGGCCATCTTGAGCTCTGTTGCCATTTCTGTCCCTTTGTCCTTGTGGAATGATGGCCAATGAACTGCAAGGAAAAAGGGGGTCCCACAGATAGAATGGGCACAAAAGGTCAGATTTGTCCTGATTCAATAGCAGAGGGTAATTTCAACACACTGTTCTCTTCTTTAGATTCACAATGAAAACCATAGAGAAACTTCAGAATTAACTGCATGAGAAATGAATGGCCACCATCACATCTAAAATATATCCCAGCTGTCATGTATACATGTATATTATCTATCATTCTTAGTATCCCACCAACCCTGTAAAAACATAGACTTCATTTTAAGCTGCAATGTAAGTCTGAAAAAAGTAAGAGAATCTAAATGAAACTAGAAACCAGTACAGAGAGAAATTATAGGGACTAAATAATTAATTGGAGACTGCACAGTAGCCTCCTAAATTACCATTGATTTACTGAAGAAGTCAGGGAGAAAAACAAGCAATTCCTAGAATCAAATGAAAACGACAACACTGCTTCCCTGCATCTTTGGGAGGCAGCTGTGTGATGCCTGGAGGGAAGTTCACGGCTTTGCATGCCTACATTAAAACCAGAAAGACCTCAAGTAAATGACCAAATTCAGAGAGATCTCAAATAAGCACCTAATGATGTGTAGACAGAGTTTTCTCCAGTAGTTCTGCAGCCCACTTATAAAATAATCACTCAGAAGCTCCTGTTAATTAAAATTGCTTGGCCATTGGCTCAGGCTAACTATTGACTAGCTCTTACCTCATAAATTAACCCATTTCTATTAATCTATAAGTTGCCACATAGCTTGTGGCTTACCAGTACTTTTACATTCACTTCCTCTGTGTCTGGCTGGTGACTCTGCTTCCCACCTTCCTGTTCCCAGAATTCTCTTCTCTGCTTGTCCCACCTATACTTCCTGCCTGGCTACTGGCCAATCAGCATTTTATTTATACAGAATGATATCCACATCACTTCCCCTATTATTTTTTATTTTTTCAAAAAGGAAGGTTTAACTTTAACATAGTAAAATTACATATAACAAAACAATTATCAGGCAAGAATTACAGTTACAATATCTAGTCTATTTATAATATCTAGTCTATTTGTATTTGGAAAAATTAAAGAAGATATCCTATCTATCCAATATTTATGAGTCTAAGGTTTTATATCTAACTTATCTTTTATCATAACTAAGGAAATTGTAACTGTCTAGTCTTCAACTACATCAAAGACCTCAGAAGTATATAATATTACCTGAGAAACAGGAGAAAGATGCAAGCAACTTTCAGGAGTCTTGTGAGAGTAGACAGAGACAGCTGGCAGCCTGGACAGTCATCCAAAGCTCCTTTGGTAAGTTGAGGCATCTGTTTTTAGCCCACAGGCCTAGAGTCTCTCAGTCACTTTTCTCTGTATCCTGTATAATGTCTGGCAGTTTCCTCTGTGACGCAGGAACTCGAAGGACCATTTTGCCAAGCAAAGTTCAGTGGTCACCTTCCTATGCGTCCTGTCCAGTCAATCAAGCAGTCCAGGTATG